GTGTGTGGATCCTGGTCAATGCGCTTCCACCAATCATATGCTCCCTTCCGGAACATCTGTGACGCCAACTCCGAGCGATCAGCATCTGGGACTCTCAAATTCTTGAGTACCCGGTCCATCTGCTCAAGCCAATCCAAAGCAATCTGGGGCTCCCCCATATTGTCTCCTCGGAACTCTTCCGCTCCATTATCCTTCAACATCTTGAAGGTAACGATGCGCGGCTGCGGCTGTGGTGGTGGCGGTGGCTGGAACATGGGCATAAACTGCGCCATGTGTTGCATATAATGGGCCATCATGGCCGGGAACATCTGCTCGTAGGCCACCGGCGGTATCGCCAACGGTGGCATCACTGGAGGTGGTACGACTGGCGGTGGTACAGCTGGTGGCTGTCCCGCTGGCTCAGGTGGATTCTGTCGTTGCCCTCCGTCACCCGGAGGCGTGAAACTCGAACCCTCGGTGTTCACCATGTGCACGCTCACGTGCTCCGGTTCCGGAACGTACTGACCATGGGTTGATTCTTAACTCATTCTAAAATAATAAGGAAATTCTCAAATCATATCTTAACATATAACAGATAAAGCTATAAATACTTAACTTCCCGGGGCAGAGGAGTTACGTGAGATGCAGGTGCGGCTGAATTATTCATTGTATTTTATTTTGAAAGGGTCCAAAGACCGATTTTAAAACCAAATGCTCCGATACCAAAATGTAACACCCCAACCCGCATGACCCAAACCCGTGAGACAGCGGACCGGTGTGTCACTGAATTGGTATCCGAATTTGCGACATTATCAGAACAGTTTTAAACAAACGTTCTTTCAATACATATAAAAATCCATCGGAGTAATTTAAAATAATGCGGAAGCCTTTTTAAAGTCAAACGGAGGACGTCGCCAAACGCCGGACGCCGCTGTTTCGCCCTCGCCGGAATCGAGAGCCGCCGTCGCCTGAGCTTCCAGCCGGTAGCCGAGCTTCCAGCCGCCGTCTCCCTTTGCACAGCGGCCATCCGCCGCCGTCGAGTGCAGCGCCGCCAGTCGCTGCTCATCGCCGTCGAGTTGCCGCTACGCCACTGTCGCCGGCGTCCGTCACCGTCGCCGCATCCGGCCGCTGCCCCAAGTTGATATCGCTGACAGATTAACCCCCACGCCGGATTGATTGGTCGATTTCGTATTTTGACTCGATTTGACCCGTTCGGTTGATTTCGTTGATTTGTCTTCCGTTCGAGCGATCGATTCGATTTCGACGTAATCCAGGTCCGTACTATGAAGTTAATAGCATTCAGAATCGATTTAATGGTTTGGATCGTTATATGTGTTTATGCTATAATTTGGCTAAATTGGTTAATTGAATTAAATTGATTGTTTGAATTGAATTGTTGAGGATTGTGAATTGACTGAACAGGTTTGACTTTGACTTGGGTTAGGTCATGTTTGACTTAGACTTTAACTGGATATTCTGTCGACGTAGGTTTAACCGAATGGTTAAATCCAAGACTTTAATGAATTAGTTAAGTTAATTAATTAATTCTAATTGGTGAATAAGGTCAATTGGTTTATTGTGTTGAACATAGAAACTGGCCATCGCTCGGGCGGCTGCAGGGCCTGGTCAGTGAGGTTAAGACGTGCGCACGAGGGTCTGCGATCTTGGGTTTGAGGCCATCGCCCGAGGGATCCTACCTCCACCGAATTGAGGCCATCTTCGGTATTACGGATTGAGGCTATCTCCGTCATAGGCAATAAATGTTAAGTGGTTTGACTTTGGTGAAAGTCTAAATTGGTTTGACCGGTGGTCAAAGAGTT